CTCGGCGCCCTGTGCGCCCCCCCCCTCCCCGCAGAGCCTCTCTCGGGACCAGGGGAGGGGCAGGGAGAGGGAGACTGCTGCTGGGGCATGGGGGGTGTTTCCCATCTCAGTGCCGCTTCCCGGAGCTGTGCTCTGACTGGCACAGTGTCCCAGGGTCTGGACTTGGCAGATCTTCCCTGTTGGATTCGCCAGCTAAATGGGAGGAGACACAGTGAAATATTTAAGCGACAGCCCCTTCCAAACACTGCAATGGTTTTTGGTCCCCTTAACTTCACCTCATCTCTGCATTGTGTCCAGTTCTGGGCCCCCCACTACAAAAAGGATGTGGACACATTGGAGAGGGTCCAGCGGAGGGCAACCAAAATGATTAGGGGGCTGGAACACATGACCTAGGAGGAGAGGCTGAGGGATTTGAGTTTGTTTAGTCTGCAGAAGAGTGAGGGGGGATTTGAGAGCAGCCTTCAACTTCCTGAAGGGAGGTTCCAAAGAGGATGGAGAGAGGCTGTTCTCAGTGGTGACAGATGGCAGAACAAGGAGCAATGGGCTCAAGTTGCGGTGGGAGAGGTCCAGATTGGATATTAGGAAAAACTATTTCCCTAGGAGGGTGGTGAAGCACTGGAATGGGTTCCCTAGGGAAGTAGTGGAGTCTCCATCCCTAGAGGTGTTTAAGTCTCGGCTTGACAAAGCCCTGGCTGTATTGATTTAGTTGGGATTGGTCCTGCCTAGAGCAGGGGGCTGGACTTGATGACCTCCTGAGGTCTCTTCCAGCTCTATGGTTCTATGCTGGGGGAAGGGTTTATAAAGTCTCTGTCCCTTTAGTCCTGGTGAGAGAGCCTAGGTCTGTGCTACAAAGAAATGGAGGGAGACTAGGGGCCTGAACATAGACACCTATATCCATCATTAGGCAGGGGAACGTGCGGCTTGTGGGTCAGAACCACTGGACGCTCAGAACCGAATCCCATTGTGGCAGGCGCAGTGATGTGGAACTCGAGCCGGGTATTGAGGGAGAGGAATATGGATTTGGGATCTAACCTGTGTGTGCTGTTTGTGGGATATCTAGATTCCAGCATTCGCCCAAAGCGGCCGAGTCCAGCCTGTGTGTCAGCAGGGACAGCGTCTGGGCAGAATGGGGGCGTGGAAAGGATTAAAGCCCCTTCTGAAATGTCTCCAATGGCCCTTCTCCCCCGACAGGCTGTAGAGCACCCATGTCTGTCTCCAGCTCAGCCCCGGGCCTGCAGAGCCAGGGACAAGAAATGGCCGTGGCGGGGCTAGTGACCTTCGAGGAAGTGGCTGTGTATTTCTCTGAGGAGGAATGGGCTCTGCTTGACCCAGGCCAGAGAGCCCTCTACTGGGATGTGATGCAGGAGAATTACAAGGCCGTGAGCTGGCTGGGTAAGGATTCCTGTCCCCGCGGGTATCACAAGCTGGGGGGAGGGGGCTCTGGAGCAGCTGGGTTGGGTTTGGTTCAGAGTCCCTCATTGTTCCCTGCTCCCCAATGTCCAGAGTCTGAGCCCCAAAATCCTGGCTCCTGTGTGAAAGACTGTCCCCTCCACAGCACCTTCCAGGGGACACAAGTTGAGAGACATAACAATAGTACTGCCTTTCCCACTGCCAGGGTCTCAATGCTCTTCCCCACCGTCTCGCCCATGTTGTGCCTTGGCTGGAGGTGTCAGTGGAAAGGCCCAGGCAAGAACAGCAGGTGCCAGAATTGTGGGTCTGGGTCCGGCTGCTGTTAGTACATACAGGGTCCCCCTTGTGCCAATGGCCGAGCCTCTGGAAGGAGGATGCGGTTCCCGGACTCCTTCCCTGGCTGTGGCTGATCGCAGTGACATGCTGGTTCCTGCCAGGGAGAGGGGCTGGGGGCTGGAGATGAGGGGGGTGGATGAGGCCGTTCACGCCGTGCGAGCATTCAGTGGGGGGTAGCTCTGAGGTAAATAAACATGAGCAGAGCTCCTCTTGCGTTCCAGGCACTCTGCTTGGCGTTGGGAGATCTGCGATCAATTCCTTGCCCTGCCACAGATTTCCTGTGTGAACCTGGGCAAGTCACTTAGACTCTCTGTGTCCGGTCTCCTCATAGCTATTACAGTGTGTCCCTGCTTCACAGGGCTGGGGAAGAATACATACATTAGGGGAGATGCTCAGCCCCCTATAAGAACCCGACAGCACAGTGGGGTCCTGACTGACACCAGGGATCCCAGGTGCTGCTGTGGCTGATAATCTTTGCTTCCTGAAGTGGCTGTGGTGCGGTACGAATTGCTGCTGGTGCTACAGCGCGTCGTTATGGCTGCTCAGGGCGGCTCTTTCTAGCTCTCTGATGAGACAACCCCTGTCCTCTCACACCGCAGCAGTTTGGGAACAGGGGGGAAGTTACTGTCCATGGCCACTGCAGCTGGCACAGCCAAGGGACGGGTGCATGTCCCCCAGGTGGGGGACAGACAGACAGACAGACATGCAAACAGATTCCCTCAAATGTATAGCAGATAGCTGTCCCTGTCTCCACCCCTGCTGTTTCAATAGGGTCTGGCCCCTTGCTGCCCACCCTGTGGTCAGTGCACAGTATAACTCTCCCTGTGATTAGATCCCTCCTGTTCCAGTTTATGAGCAACATTCATATTCCAGGCACATCCCATTGTCCTGGCACAACCAAACCCCGACCTTGCTTTAAGGCACGATCAGAGGAAGCTGCTTACCGAATTTGGTGGTGCTAGCTCTTACCGTGTAGGAGGAGTCCTTGGACAAACAGACAGACTGACTCACTCACTTGCAGACGGACAGACTCTTTCATATATACAGTGGGTTGCTTTGTCAGGATTCAGCACCCCTCCCGGTGCCACACAGAGACTCTGGGAACCGGCACAGTTTGTCCCGTGAGAAACATGGAAGCAAAAAGTCCACAGACTTGACTTAGAAGTTTGCAGGCTCCACTTCAGAGATTCCTGCTCTGCCTGCCAGAGAGAGAAAACTCCTCTCCTGCTTCGAACCGCATGGCCCCTGGGCCTTGCTGTAGAAGGAAAGAGCCCCAGAGGGAAGGGCAGTCCCAACGAATTCCCCCAAAGCCTGCGACACACGGGGCCAGGCAGACTCCACAGGCGGTAACGATCTCTCTGCCTCTTGTGGAGGCCTGGAGGGAGCTGATGCAGATTTAGCAGAGGCAGGTGGCTTGGGTGATGATGTAAAGGTTGAATTAACTGCAGCCCTGGACCGGCGGCTCTGAGGCCTGGGTGTGGGCCCTGCTGGTGGACAGAGGCCTTGTAGAAGGAGAAGAAAACACACCCAGCAGCGTTCTCCTTGGCCGGGGGCTGGCATTAGCCCTGGGAGGAGGCAGAGCCCCATTACCCTTCCAGGGTGAGCTGATGGTTGGTCACACTCAGGGGTATCCCAAGGCAGGGTATGAACGGTGGCCAGGGAACCCTATGTCCCTTCCCACCCGATCTCCGTCCACCCGCTGCAGCCCCTGGGAGAAGAGCCTCGTCACATGGGGACTGAGAGGCAGGGGAGGGACAGCGCTAGGGCCACACTGTGCTCTTCTGGGAGGGGAACCCAAAACAAACTGGAGAAACCGATGCCAGGGCAGGTCAGCAGGAGTCTGCCCCTCCTGGGGGCCCTTACGGGAAAGGGAAGAGTAGGGACTAAGGATTCACTTTGTTGCTCAGACAACTTCTTCTGCCGCCTCCCGGCGCTAGTAGAGCCCCTGAGCCACAGAGTGGGGCAAGCCGAGCCCCCCAGCCAGGAGCGGTGTGGGCGGAGTCCTTGGGGAGCCAGAGCGCTGCTGGGGCCTGTCTCTCCATGTCCCGGTGACCTGCCATGTGGCAGCTGCAGTCTGAGCCCTGCCTGGGGGCCTTGGTGTCAGCCCTGGCCGGAGCTCCCCTGAGCAGTGTGATCCTGTCCTGCCCTGGGATGGGAGGGGCCGTGAGGCAGACTGAGTTGCACCCTAGAGAGTGCAGCAGAGAGCTCAGCTCCCCCAGGAATCCGCTGGGCCGTTCCCGAGGCAGGGGGGCTGCACCTTTACTGCAGGTGAGTGAGAGATGGGATCTTGTACCAGCCAGAGCCCCGTCTCTGCAAGGGGGGAGGAGCCTCTCTGGGTGGGCGACTCGGATCCTGGCTCTGGAAGCAGTAATGGCACAGACCTTAATGAACAAGATCAGCACTGGGTTCATTGCTCCCCGGGCAGGATTTCCAGTCTCCAAAGCTCATGCGATCTCCTGGGTGGAGCGTGGGGAGGAGCTGCGGATCCCGGATCTCCAGGGCTCTGAGGAAGGGGGGCTCGGCAGCAACACCCACACAGGTGAGCAATCAGCTAAACTGACTCAATTTCTGTGTCCTCATAGCAGGTGTCACTTCTGCATTTTCATCAAGTCTAACTGACTCGCCAGCCTGTGATCCAGTTCAGCCAGAGGGTGGGTGGGGTGAGGTGAAGGCTGGGTTCTCTCCTTTGGGAAAGGGTTGTGAGGAAGGAGAAGGAATTCAGCTCATGATTATTCCTCCTTTCCAGCCATTCTTTGGCTGTGTTCCCCCTTTCCTGTTCCCCTTTCAGCACAGAGACTGACTCCTGTCTGGATTCTCTCTCTCTCCCAGCAGGTGATGGGACGCTGCGTGAGAACAATGAGGAGAGAGGAAGGGAGCACGTGGCTCCATGTGGGATGTTACCAGGAAGATCTGAAGAGCATGTTTATGGGAGTCCTGTGCTGGGAGAGACCTGGCAGAGTCAGCGTAGCCCAGAGCGGCAGCAGGGAAACCATGCAAGGGAGGGACAGCGTAAAACCAGTCACAGGAGCAGAGGGGTGAAAAGAAACAGAGAAACCGCCATTCAACAGAAAATCCCCCATCAATTCGCACCCTGCACTTGCAGTGAGTGTGGGAAAAGTTTCCAATGTAGACGGGTCCGCATTTCACACCAGAGAATCCACACAAGCAAGCAACCCTTTGACTTGTCTGACTGTGGGAATAACTTCAGTCAGGGACTGCATCCAACTGACAAAATCTGTGACTGCCCTGACTGTGAGAAAAGCGTGCTATGCCAATCAGGTGTTACTGAACACCAGAGAAACCACAAGGTAGCAAACCTATTCAAGTGCTCTGACTGTGGGAAAAGCTTCAACCGGCGCTCAAATCTTCTTGATCATCAGAGAATCCACACAGGGGAGAAACCCTTCCTCTGCTCTGAGTGTGGGAAAAGCTTCCGTCGGCACTCATACCTTATTAAGCATCAGATATTACACACACGAGAGGCACCCTTTAATTGTTCTGACTGCGGGAAAAGCTTCAGTGGGAACTCAGACCTTGTTAGACACAGGAGGATGCACACCGGTGAGAAACCCTTCCACTGCTTTGAGTGTGGGAAGAGCTTCCGTCAGCGCTCAATTCTTAATACACATCAGAGAACCCACATAGGAGAGAAACTCTTTAACTGCTCTGACTGTGGGAAAAGGTTTTGGCAGAGCTTCGAGCTTGTTAGACACAGGAAAATTCACACAGGAGAGAAGCCCTTCAACTGCTCTGACTGTGGGAAAAACTTCAGTCGGCGCTCATGTCTGAACAGTCATCATAGAACCCACACAGGAGAGAAACCCTTCAGTTGCTCTGACTGTGGAAAAAACTTCAGTCGGCGCTCATATCTTAATAGTCATCATAGAACCCACACAGGAGAGAAACCCTTCAGTTGCTCTGACTGTGGAAAAAACTTCAGTCGGCGCTCATATCTTAATAGTCATCATAGAACCCACACAGGAGAGAAACTCTTTAACTGTTCTCACTGCGGGAAAAGGTTTCAGCAAAGCTCCGACCTTGTTAAACACAGGAGAACTCACACAGGAGAGAAGCCCTTCAGCTGCTCTGACTGTGGAAAATGCTTCACTGAGAATGCAACCCTGATTAAGCATCAGAGAATCCACACAGGAGAGAAACCATTCAGCTGCTCTGACTGTGGGAAAAGCTTCCGTCAGCGCTCAAGTCTTCTTGATCATCAGAGAATCCACACGGGAGAGAAACCTTTCAGCTGCACTGACTGTGGGAAAAGCTTCCATCGGCCCTCAAATCTTCTTGATCATCAGAGAACCCACATAGGAGAGAAACCCTTCGGCTGCTCTGACTGTGGGAAAAGCTTCAGTAGGCGCTCATACCTTATTAAGCATCAGATATTACACACACGAGAGACACCCTTTAACTGTCCTGACTGCGGGAAAAGCTTCAGTGGGAACTCAGACCTTGTTAGACACAGGAAAATCCACACAGGAGAGAAACCCTTCAGCTGTTCTGACTGTGGGAAAAGCTTCAGTGGGAACTCAGACCTTGTTAGACACAGGAAAATCCACACAGGAGAGAAACCCTTCAGCTGTTCTGACTGTGGGAAAAGCTTCAGTCGGCGCTCATGTCTTAACAGTCATCATAGAACCCACACAGGAGAGAAACCCTTCAGCTGCTCTGACTGTGGGAAAAACTTCACTCGGCGCTCATATCTTCTTGCTCATCAGAGAACCCACATAGGAGAGAAACACAGCGCACAGTTAACCTGTGGAACTCCTTGCCAGAGGATGTTGTGAAGACCAAGACTTTAACAGGGTTCAAAAAAGAACTAGATACATTCAGGGAGGTTAGGTCCATCAATGGCTATTAGCAGGACTCATCAAACTGCGGCGAGCCCTGCTTGCCAGCCGCATTGTCCAGCACAGATCGCCCGAACCTGGCTCTTCTGGGTTGCAATCTACTTGCCACGGGCGAGTAGATTGCATTATTTGTCAAGCCCTGGCTATTAGCCAGGTTTGGCAGGGATGGTGTCCCTAGCCTCTGTTTGTCAGTGGCTGGAAATGGATGACAGGAGAAGCATTACTTGATAAATATCTTTGGTCTGATGGCTGTTTTTATTTTCACTATGGACTCTGTTGTTTTGCAGAGAGAACTGACTACTGCCAGTATACCACAAGGCCTGCTGTTATAGCTGTGCTCAGTGTTGTATGATCTCTGCTGCCCTGCAGGCTGTTCCCCTCCCATTTCGAAGCTCCAGCAAGTGTCTGACAGCTAAGTGAGCTGCTGCCTTTTGGGGAATAAACAAAGAGCAAATCACTGGAGTGCTCCTGTTCTGCCCTGCTAGGAACACCGCGGCAGGCCGGCTGCTGCTGCAGGGGAAGGGCTAGAGAGATGGCTGTGTTACAAGGACATTCCTCTGCACAGAGAGCTCACAGAGCTAGGAGGTAATCCCAAAAAGTGCAGGGATCGGCTTTGCCTTCCCACTGCACTGTGAGATGCTCACCCACAGTGCTTTGCTCTATTTGTCGACAGGGAAGCTAGCAATGTGGCCATGAAATGTCGACAATGGGAGGCAGAAAAACCGGTTTGACCAGTTTTCATTTTTGGCAACTTTTGCATGTCGACAGCACTTTTGTCGCCAAACTTTTCCAGAGTAGACGTAGCCTAAAACTGACTTGGTGCTATTTAAACTGCACCCTAGGTAGGCACCCTAGGCCGAAAGCTGGGAGGGAACCATCTCCTTTCACCCTCTCCCTGGCTCATTTGTGTAGCAGGAAGCAGCCTCTGGTGAGGCCTGCCAGATCAGGCCTCGCCCCACCTTCCCTTGGCTTGTGAATCACACTGGGGTTAGGGGAGAGCTACAGTGAGGCAGCCATATATATGCCCAGAAGCAGAAGGGTTTTTACATTCAGAAGTAGCACGGGTATTGGGCGGGTTTTTTATTGCGACAGCGTAGGTGCTGAGTGAGCTCCAGAGCCGATGGGAAGAGATGGCCCCGGAGTGGGAATGTGGTAATCACAGGGGTGCTTGAGAACCTGTGTGAATCCCTCCCCCTTTCCTTAGCACAGTGGATACACACAGGTGCGGGAATGGGCTGGGATTGTCAGTGTGCGGCCCTGGCTTGGTTCTGGTGACTTTCTTGCTTTGGAACCGGTGAGTCATGTATCCTCCCCTCCTGTGTGTGTGATTCTAACCATTTTCAGCCAGAGATGGGTCTAAAAGCTGCTGCATTTCAGGCAACCGCGAGCATATGACTGAATTTCATTTACAAATCCTGCTAAGCCTAAGAATCATGCCTTCTTAAATCAAATTAAGAGACACATCAGTGATTTTTGTTGGCACCAATTTGAACTTGCTCGTCCCATCCCATTGCTCTGGTTTTGTTCAGTTTCATTTTTTGCTTAGTTTAAAAGTTTTAAGAGCCAGTCAAATTATAGTTTTAACCAAGTTACTCCACTGAATGTATTTGAGGTGAGGGCCACGTTCACATTACAAACTGTGGCCAATGCAAGTGACAGCGGCAGAAAGTGGCCGTGGTTAGTAGAACCGTTGCAAACGTGGCTCCTTGCCTCAGGGATGCTTCTATTTACCCCAGAGCACTTTCACTCTCCTCTTGCTCTCTGTGTGCGTCATGAATGCTGCACACACAGGCTGAAGAGCCTGCTGGTATTTGCAGACCCCAGGAAGAACTGCAGCCTTGGGGGCCAAGCGATTTCCAATGCCCCCTGTTTATTCCAAGCATGTGTCTAGCACAGGTAATTAGCATGGGCAGCCATATGCAACACAGGAGCACTGCTAGGGGTGCTTTCCAGGCTGGGCAATCTGAAAAAAGTATTTCAAAACTATGGGGGGTGTTACATGGTTGGGCTTCTGTGGGGCTCATGCAGAATTAGACTGACACAAGATGATTGACATCAGCATAACTATGAAATGTAGGCCAGACTTGGTTCTTTAAGTATAGCTGTTGAATTCTGCTAATTGTTAGCTAGTAGTTAATTTGAGTTACAGCAAACAACCTACGGGTGTGGTCTGTATGCTGTGAAAAATAAGCAAATATCACTGTGGTTATAACACAAAGGTTTTAGAATTCTATCCCCACTTTTACAACACTACACCATTCAACAGAGTTAACCAGCCTTGTTTTAATTTTGGATTACAGAATTTCAATTTTTAGTTAAGAATTTGTTTTTGAAGTTGCTACATTGTAGCACTCTTTTTATTTTCCCTTTTTAAAATCTGGCACATCTAATTTGAATAAGCCTTCTTGAAATGTTTAAAGATTTTCTTTTGTCATGTTTGATTACTTAAATAAATGTGGCGGGGGGGGGGAGGTTTATTTCAAAGTCAAGTTGAATTGTTTATCGTGGGATATCCCATCCTGTATATTTTCAGTCTCAATTAGCTGAGTGCAGTCCCATTCTAACCACAGACAAACCCATCTTTGGTTTTGTGTTACTGAGCTCGTCATTGGCACGGATCAGGGTAGTGTGACTGGTTAGCATGAGTCAATCAACAGTAAATGAGCTGAAGGGAGCAAGAGCCCTGGAAGATTATGGACTTGTTTACAACTTTTAAGAAAAAGGACTGTGAAATAAAAGAACTGTGTATGTGGCCGAGGAAGCGTTCCCAGCATTGCCACATAAGAAAATTAACAAGTAACAAGCTAACCAAGGACAGATCATTGTTTCACACTTGTGGTGAGGCAAGTGGTGCAAAAACCAGATATTTCTGGATTGGTCATAAACACACCAGTAAGAAGAAGGGATTGTCACTCATGGACACCAGCTCATCTGGACTGCGTGCAACCAGTGGATGGCATCTCGTCGGACTGGCCCCTGCCGAGGGGATACATACCACACCATTTTCCCCCACGATGGGGAGTCCATTGATTCAGCATATTGGGGTGACGTGCACATCGGGCTTCCGCCTCAGCCAAATTAACCAACATTACCTGAGGTCTGGCCAGCCCCAGAGGGTGAGGGTGAGTGTGTATGTGTGTATTAATTTGAACTAAGAATTAGGCTGCTAAATTGGGTTAAGGATTAGATGTAGATTGTTAATTATTCCATTTAAATATTGCTTAATGCCTTTTAATGTCTTTTCATGCTGTTTTAATTGCTTAAGTACTAAATATACATATACATATAGCGCTTTTAAAATTTCCTCCTGAATTGCTTGCAATAAACTTGTCAAGGGTACAATCTGTATGCTGTGGGTCTCTTGTTCTGAGAGTCAGTTACAATACATGATTAGGAGGTGTTTGCTTGCCTAGAATCAAAAGAAGTAAAAATCTTAAATGAATCAAACTGTTCCATGGAATCTCTATGGACAGTAATTCCATGCTCTAATAATATGAATACAGCAGTCGAGATATATTACTATCCACCTGACCACGGTAATGACGACAAAATGCTAAGGAAAATTAGAGAGACCATACAAATAAAAAAAACCCTCAGTAATAATGGGGGATTTCAACTATATCCATATTGACTGGGTGCATGGGACGGGATGCAGAGATAAAATTTCTTGACACGTTAAATGACTGCTTCTTCTAACTGCTGGTTCTGGAACCCACAAGAGGAGAGGCAAGTCTAGATTTAGTCCTAGATGGAACACTGGACTTGGTCCAAGAGGTGATTATAACTGGACTATTTTGGAATTAGTGACCATAATCTAATTAAATGTAACATCCCTGTGGTGGGAAAAACACCACAGCCGCCCAACACTGTGGCGTTTAATTTCAGAAAGGGGAAGTATAGAAAAATGAGGAGACTAAACAGAAATAATGTCAAAAGTAAAATTCCAGCAAGCTGCATGGAAACTTTTTAAAAACACCATAGTAGAAACTCAGTTTAAATGTATATCCCAATTTAAAAAAAAAAAAATACACAGTAAAAGAACCAAGAAAAGCAACAGTGAGACACAAAAAAAGCATAGTTAAAAAACGGGAAGTTAAAACCCAGAGAAGTTAAATCTTCTTAGTTCCTTGAATATTCCAGGATGCATTTCATCAGGCCCTGGTGACTTTTCCAATTTTAACTTCTGAACCTATCTCCTTTCCCCCAGCATTACTACTGTAGATATCCAACCACCATCACATGTCTGGGTGAAAACTGAAACAAAGAAGTTGTTAAGCACCTCTGCCATTTCCACATTTTCTGTTATTTCCCTCTCTTCATTGAGCAGTGGGTCTACCCTATCCTTGGTCTTCTTCTTGCCTCTAGTCTATTTGCAAAATGTTTTCTTGTTCCCCTTTATGTCTCTAGCTAGGCTGAGCTTGTTTCGGGCCATCGCCTTTCTAATTTTACCTACACACTTATGTTATTTGCTTATGTTCACCCTTTGTAATTTGACCTAGAGTCCAATTTTTTTTAATATAGGACTCCTTTTTGATGTTTAGATCATTCGAGATTTCCTGGTTAAGCCAAGGTGGTCTCTTGCCAGACTTCCTATCTTTCCTACACAGTGGAATAGTTTGCTTTTGGGGCCCTTAATAAAGTCCCTATGAAAAACTGCCAGTTCTTTTCAATTGTTTTTCCTCTTGGCCTTGCTTCCCATGGGACCTTACCTACCCCTCATGGCCCCATGCAGCTGCTGTGCTTTTTCTATATTCAGACTGGCCACCAGAGGCTCATTGACAGCGGCTGCTGTCTGCACGTCTGAGCTGGGTGTTGACCTGATGGCTGTTTGTTCCGTCTTTCCATCCCACTCGCCACAATTCTTTTAGTGCTCCCCATTAGATCATTGCTGTGTAGGAGGGACTATTGGCCCCTCATTCTCAGCGGGACTTGGGGCTAGCCCCCTGCCCCAAAAGAAAGGAG